TGAGCCACCGCGCCCGGCCCAGCCCCATGGTTTTGATTGCACAGTGTTGCATGGTGTGGTGACCTTTTAGGCACCCATGTGTTGCATTATAGCAGAAATTACTGTACAGCTACTTCCTGCTTTGTCCTTTATCAAACAAAGGCTTAACAATGAGCCCCATTCAGCAGCAACAGCAGCCCTACCCAGGTCACCTGTGCGGGATTCTGACATGGGGGATTGCAGCAGACAGGGCTGGAGCCTGTTTAGTCACCGCTCTCTCCCCCGAGGCCCCCCACTGAAAAGGTGCTGTATTCCTTTACTGCGGCTGCAGGGACAAATGGCCACAGACTGGGGGTGCCTAAAACAAGAGAAATGGATTCTTTCACTGTTCTGGAGGCCGGAAGTCTGAGATCAAGGTGCTGGCAGGGCCACACTCCCTTTGAAGGCACTGAGAAAGCCTCTTCCCAGCTCCTGGTGGCTCCAGGCATTCTTTGGTTTGTGGCCGCATCACTCCAACCTCTGGTGGACACATGGCCTCCTTATAAGGATCTAGTCTTAGGGCCCAACCTAAACCCCTGTGACCTCATCCTAATGAATTACATCTACAAAGATTCTTTTTTCAAATAAGGTCACATTCTGAGATTGTGGGTGGACATGAATTTGGGAGGGACACTATTCAGCCCAGCATAGGCACCAACTAGAAAAAAGGCAACCATAAATCCTCCCACCATCCTGTGCACACACAGATCTCACAGCAAGTACTGCTAGAGCTAGGATTTGGGCCAGGTGTGGTGGCGCATGCCTGTAGTCCCAGCTCCTCAGGAGGCTGAGGCAGGAGGATCACTTGAGCCCAGGAGTCTGAGGTTGCTGTGAGCTAGGCTGATGCCCCTGCACTCTAGCCCAGGCGACAGAGACTCTGGCTCAAAAAAAAAAAAGAGCTAGGATTTGGATCTGGGCTGACGGATCCCCAAACTCAGGCTGGAACTCCTCTGCCAAAGGGACAGGCAGGTCATACCCATTCACTGGAAAATGCCCCAAAGTTTGCCCAAGTGTGAGGTGAAGAAGTATGAGGCCAGAGCCATCAGGCCACGGAGACCTGGCATCCAGGAGACAGAGGGGCTAAGTCCAGAAAGTTCTCTGACCCCCACCGGCCAGCTCAGCCCTCAGATCCAGGGATGGCCCCAGCTGGAGGGGAAGGGCAGGTCTCCTCTCCGAACCCCGCTGCGGGGTCTGCGGGCTCCCAGGGAGGCTCCCCTCCACCCAAGCCCCTTCCTAGCGGGGTTCAGCCCTGTCATCTTCTCACCCACAGAGCCGGTCCTGCCAATACCCACTTCACCTGGCCGTTCAGCGGCACCCCCACTTCCGGAGGCTGTTTGATCTCTCCACTCCAGTGCTGCTGTGGGGGGGCCTCTTCACCCCAGAGCTCTGGGACAGCCTGAGCCAGCACAAAGCCCCCTACGGCTGGCAGGGGCTCTCTCGCCAAGGTAACCAGCCACCCGCTGCCTCCTGTCCCACCTTCTGCCTCAGCTTCCCACTCTTGGCCCTTAGAGAGGCTGATCCTCCCCGTGTCCCCCTCTCCTCCCAGAGCCCCTAGCGGTGCGACTCCTGCCTCACCTCCCTCCTCTGTCCAGGCACCCAGGGGTCTGTGAGAGGGCTGGGGCTGCCCCTACCCGGTGGCTCTCACCATCCCGGGACCTCCCTGGCATGAAAAGCTCCAGTGTCCAACGGCGGCTGAGGACAGAGGCCAAGGGGGCCTCAAACAGCCTCACTCATGGTTGCTGCTGCAGGAACCACCACAGTTCGGGCCCAGAGCCTCTCCAAGTTACACCAATCTGTTCCCCTCACCCCCACCCTCTACCCACCCAGGCCTCGGGTTCTTTTTTTGGAAAATGCCCAGTCTTGAGAGGACAAGTTATTGGGGTTCTTAGGAGACTGAAGGCCCATCAAGTCCCCGTCCCTCACCGTCCTCCTTCCAGGCCTCTCCCACTCTGCCATTTCCTTCTCTTCCCACCCCCTGTGCTTCTTAGGAGGGGCTGGGCTCAGGCCTGGGGGAGGCCCCAGATGACCCGGCCGCCTGTGCCCTCACGGCCACCCCCGTCCTCCCCCCCACAGTCATCGCCTCCACCCTGAGCCTTCTGAATGGCTCAGAAAACGCAGAGCTGTTTGCCACGTCCAGGGAGCCACCTCCAGGCTGCATCCGGTGCGCCGTGGTGGGTAACGGAGGCATTCTCAACGGGTCCCGCCAGGGTGCGAACATCGATGCCCACGACTATGTGTTCAGGTACGAGGGCCAGCCAGCCCTGGGGGAGCATCTTCCCTGGGGACAGAGAGTCAAGGCAGCTGTGGCCTTAGTGGCCTTAGGCAGCTCAGCAGTCATGATGGGCACACAGGCATGGATGAAAGCGTGTGCAAACAGTCCGCCCTGAAGACAGAGTGTGGGTGCCCACATGCAAGCAGACCCAGGAGGAAGGAGCCACCAGGGCCAAATTTACCTATTCACAGGGCATTATCCGTTGAAGTCTGGAGGAGTGGGCGTCAGGCTGGCAACCGGGCACTGGTGCTGCCGTGGGCAGAGGGAGTGTCATCCAGACGCATGGGGACAGGAAGGCAGAACCGTGGAGATGGAAGTGAAATAGACAGCATGTTGTAACCACGAAGAGACTGATGGGTCTCTGTGCTGACGCACACAGGCTCAACGGCGCTGTGATCAAAGGCTTCGAGCGCGATGTGGGCACCAAGACTTCTTTCTACGGTTTCACTGTGAACACGATGAAGAACTCCCTCATCTCCTACTGGAGTCTCGGCTTCACCTCTGTGCCGCAAGGACAGGTGAGGCCCCCCGTGGGCATGCCGCTGTGGTTGACGGTGACCGTGGGGTGGGCCACAGGGTTCACAAACCCCCGTCCATTGGATGGAGAGGTCGTGCCAGGATTTTGGCTGCACAAGATGGCACCACTGGGGTGAAGGAGGATCGAGTCAGGGACTTGCCATTGACTCAGGTGGCACAGGACTCCTCTGGAGCATGGCGTGTGAGTGGCCAATGTTTACTGAGTGCTCATGGTGTGCCAGGCATTTTACAGATGCCATGCCAACCCCACTTTACTGGTGACTGAAGCTCGGTGCCCTTTTATTCAGCGCGTTGGCAATAGAGCCAGGATTCCCATACCGACTGCGCCCGCAGAGCTCACATCCCGTGGGGAGATCAGCCAGTCGGAGCCGTGCGCAGGGGAAGGGTATCATTACCTCCTCTTTCCCAGCATCACACAGGGCATAGACACGGTCAATCACAGCAGCCCCGAATGATCCCAGTTCCAGATGGCAGAGCTGAGACGCCGAGAGATTTGGGAACATGTCCAAGGTCACCCGGCTAGAATCTCAGAATCCAGGCCCCTCTGACCCCAGTGCTAGGGTCTGTCTCCATTTCCTCACACTGCCCACCCAAGGAATGGCATGTGACCTCTCCAGTTCTTTCCAACAGCCCCGTGTAGGAAACTGAGGGTCAAAGGGATTGAGGGGCATGCCCCAGGTGACAGCTGCTGAGTTGGGGAGCCCGCATCTCAGTCCATCCGGACTGGCCTTCAGGTTCTTTCAACCACACCCTGCTGCCATAAATTCACGCTTCCCCTCTCAAGTGCTCTGGGTGTCACATACAGGGTTAGGGAGATCCCAGGAAAAGGGGTTCTGTGGTGTTGGATAAGGCTGAGCTGGGTTTCTAGGCTCTTCCTCTGACCAGGGAATTAGTGTGTACACACTGAGTCCTCACAAGAAGAACCTCTCTTAGTTCCTGGTAGAACAAAATGCAGCAGTGGCCGCAATACCTGTATGAGTTATGTATCGCTGTGGAACCAGTGACTCCAAACCTTGGTGGCTTTAAACAACATTTATTATCTTACAGTTTCAATAGGTCAGGAAACTTGGAAGCAGCTTAGTGGAGTGGTTCTGGCTCAGGGTCTCCGGGTGGTGGGCCGCGGTCATCTGAAGACTTGACTGGTGCCAGCGTCAAGATGGCACACTCACAGACCTTGCCAGCTGGGCCCCTCCTTGGGCCACTCGAGTGTCCTCACGACATGGCAGTTAACCTCACCCAGAGTGAGTGAGCAAGGAAACCGCAGCACCTTTGATGACCTTGTCTCTAAAGTCCCACATCATCACTTTCCACTTTCTTTTCTCGTTTGTTTGTTTTTAAGACAGAGTGTTGCTCCGTCACCCCAGCTAGAGTGCGGTGGCGTCATCATAGCTCACAGCAACCTCAAACGCCTGGCCTCAAGAGATCCTCCTGCCTCAGCCTCCCGAGTAGCTGGGACTACAGGCATCCACCACCACATCTGGCTACCCACTTACTATTTATTAGAAAAATCCTATGCATTACTCAGTCCAGCCCATACTCAAGGGGATGGCCATTAGGCTTCCTCTCTTGCAGGGAGACATATCCAAGGAGTTGTGAACACATACTGAAACCGCCACCGTACCTCAGAGTGGACATTCAAGGTGTAGAAGAGAAATTCTCCAGTCAGCTTACCAAGATGGGGTGGACAGGTGTCCCCGCCGAGCAGGAGCTTAACGGGGCCTCGCTGCCCTCTGGGCTTGTCTCTGTTCTGACAGGACCTGCGCTACATCTTCATCCCCTCAGACATCCGCGACTACATGATGCTGAGATCGGCCATCTTGGATGTGCCTGTCCCCGAGGGCCATGATAAAGAGGACAGGTGAGCAGCCAGGTGGTGGCGTGTTACACAGGATGGGTGATGCCACAGCTGTCTCCCCTTGCTCCCAGGGCCCGTTTTGGAGGAAGAGCGGCAAGAAAATCCCAAGCATTCAATAATCCCCAACTCAACATAATTCAGCCTTGGGGAATTATGCACTTTTTATCTACCGCCAGGAAAGCCCAGGTGACCCCACTGGTCCCCAGTAACCCTCCTGATGCGGTGGGCTGCAGGCCGGAGGGGCAGTGTTTCTGAAAGGAGCCAGCAGACCAGCTCCTCGGCTGTAGGCCACTGCCTCCATGGCCAGCCCAGCCACCCGCTGCCCAAGGGTACAGGCTCTTGGGTCTGCTGTCCTGCCAAGCACACTGTTCTAGAAACCAAGGGTAGGGGCCAGTCCACACTGCTCCTCCTGGGGGCACCTTCCCAGGGCCATGCCCAGGAAACGGGACAACAGGCCCCGTAGGCCCAGTGTCCGGAGGGGAGGGAACAAAGGGCACTTTGTCTTCTCTCTCCCACCTTCCTGCATGGCAGGCCTGGGTCCAGCTCTTTTGAACCATGTCCTAACCCTCATCTGAACCTTCTCCCTGCAGTTCTGAGACAATTTCTTATCCCTGAGATCAGGTCCATAGAAATTTATGCCACTGCAGCAGCCCAGATGACCAGCCACTTATCCTGGTGCTCTCGGGACATCTCACCCACCCCCTAGAGAGCAGCTTTCGAGGTGGTCCTTCCTGGTTAAGTCCTCAAAAGCCTGCCCTGCCCTGGTGATTACCCAACAATCGCGCTGGTGCTGCTGCAGGTCATGACCTGGGCTTTGTGACACGGTGGGACTGGGCCTTGGGGGGGCTGCCCCAGGGACATCAGGTGGACATAAGCCTCCCCAACACCAATGACCTCCCCCTCCCACACCCCCACTCCGTCCCCTACCCAGTCCCCCTCCCAGTCCCGCTCCAACAATGTTGTCACCCTTCCCGGTCAGCAGCCCTACTCTAGCTCAGGAGGCTCAGCCCCTTCCCCTTCCCCACCTCGGGGCTCCTCCCGCCCCCCCTCGCACACTCCCACCCCAAATGGCTCACAGCCCTCTTCCCGGGCTTCCTCCCTGACCCCCAGTCCTCATGTCCAACATGTACCCCGAGGGTCTTCCCAAAACCCCACTCCGCCTGCCTCCAAATCTCCCTCCCAGTCAGGTTTTAAATCCCTCTCCCAAAACCCTTCCCTAACCCCTGCTGTGCCCATGGCCAGGTCCCTCTTCCAAAGCCCTGCCACCTCAGCCTCCTATATCGGGCCAATTCGGACCAGCCCGTCCTACATCACCCCCTATGTGCCCCGCTTTCTGAAGGAGCCTCCCTTTTTCCAGCCCCCTACAGCACCACTCCCCCAGAACCACTGCTTCCCCTGTCCCTTTCCCTGCCCTGCCCCAGAGC